TTATTTTTCAGGGAAGTATTTGCATGAATACAGTTGAGAGTTAGTGTACAGACGCTAGTAGGCATGGGCTATCTATGTTGTTAAAATCACAATGATTTGTTGTATCTTTGTAGAGAAAAAGAAATTTCACTCTCAGTCATGACGTTATTTCTAGTGATTTTTGCATGCTTCAACCGTTGGTGTTAAGAAAAAATAAGTTTATGATTGGGAACACGTGAGAGTCACCATGAAAATAATGACAATAAACATATGATTATATTTACTGTACCTCAACGGTTATAATACGAAAGATATTAGCCGTGGATATAGGCACGATATTATAGAATATATAGAATCAATATTATAGAATCAAAAACGGAATTTAGGAGTATGACTGGTCATTCATAAGAGAAGAATGAACTATAGAAATATGAAAAGTTTCATGCGGTTCGACACTCACATGGGTGGGTAGGCATTCACAAAAACATAAAGTTCTCAGAAATTTTTCTGTTTATCAGGCTTTGTAGAACTTTCTTTGCTGATCATTTTGCTAAAAAATCTTTTTAAGTTTGGTCAATAAATAACAGTACTAAGTTCAAAATCCCCAAAATATATTAACAGTATTGGTGGGTTATTGGTCGACAGTATTTACAGTACCAATGCTGTTAATAACAGTTAATAACAGTATTGATCGACAGCTCATTTTTGCACCATAAGAACAGTTTCAAATGCTCTTTAAAATGGCTATTTACTTGTTAAAAATACTTGAGTGGTTGCAGAGATATATCGACTACAAAAGTTCTGTGAACTTTTTGTCCATACCTTACTTTTCACAAATCAGCCTTTTTACTTTTGCGCTTAACCTGCACATGACTCTGTACTAGCTACTCATGCCAAAACTTGGTAAAAATTCTTTTCTCCTAACCGTTTAAAATAGATTTTTTTAAAAAGAAAGTTAGACAAGCTCGTGAAAGGTACCGCAAGTGGATTTATACATGATTTTTAGACGGTTAGGAGAAAAGAATTTTTATCAGGTTTTGACATGAGTAGCTAGCACAGAGTCATGTGCAGGTTAAGCGCAAAACTAAAAAGGTTAATTTGTGAAAAGTAGGAGAAAAATGTCTTTTGCCATACATAATACCCATTTTCCAGCCATTTTTACAAAACTGAAAATATTTTTCTCAACTTAGACGAACTGATGAAGATGAAAAGAACATGCCATTAGATGTAACGTTCGATGCTCTGTTCAACCATATGTAAATTGTTGCATTTTGTCAATGGATCAAAACTACGATAAAAATCAGTTGGGAGCCGGCCTCAAATGCAGTGCTTGTCATAAAACGCGTGTAAATCATAAAGACCATCGTAAACAGCTCGCCGACGTCGCATTTTGTAGGAAAATGGTTGCTCTACTTCTGTAATGACTCAAAAAGAGTTTGTACGTCCAGGTGTTTAAGATTTGTATCAAAATTTAGAAAAGTAAGAAAACGATGAAACCATGCTTGTCTCCAAAAAAATGAAGTAAAATTTTATTTTGGGACCGCCATATGCATGGCCTATATTTAAAAAGTACTGAGAAAAGTGTAATTTTAAAAATATGGAATTCTTTAGTTTTCTATTATTTAATCCTAGATAGACAGATTATTATGTCTAAACACATGGTCTTATCGGGTAAACATTTCTCTTTCAAATGAGCCATGCACGAATCATAGAAGTATGATAGTTTTTCAGAAAATCGGAAAATATGAAAATTTGCAAAAGTTCACGCTTTTTGGTAACAGGAGTGACCTTTAGCACGTTAAATTCTGTCATACTAAACATAAAAATTGTTACAAAATCAACGTAACCCAATTCCTGGCATAATGAACTAATAATACTATTTAATGATGAAAAAGATATCACACATAAGCTAAAAGTTCATTGTCGATGGAAATAGAAATATGAAAATATCCTGTTCTGAAAGCACCATTTGCGCTGCAAAGAATTCTCCAGAATTCAGGTTAAACAAATAAACTCAAGTTTTTGAAAATTTAAAATTTTAGAACCAATAAAAGCGAGTTCGAGTGCAGTGACAAATCACTGGAGCGACAGATATGAGCTTTGTAACGAGATGTGTACATGACAACAAGTAAAAAGCCTAAACATATACAGATTTGTATTTTTAACATTTCGATGTAAGCATCGTACCACTTTGACTTGATCCTGTATCAGGGCTCCTTAAACGAATCTTCAGCACCGTGATCGTAGGAACAAGCTTAGCTTTTCGTAAAAGGGTTCAGTTTAGATAGATTTTTTTGAAAATACATGAAGGCAAAAGTCTGTAAGAGCTGATATTCTGATTCTGACGGTACAACGGTATGGCTTGATGGTTAGGTTGTTCGTCACGTAGTTCAAAGGTACTGTGTTCGAACCTCGGCGCCAGCAAAGTCCTGTAATAATCTTGGGTAAATTACTTATGTCTCAGTGCCTCGGATCATCCGTCTGACAGCATACTACTACGTTGTGACGTACAATACAGCTTCTGCGGCTAGCTCTCATGGCTTTCCGGAAAGCTTGTACGTGGTTAGAGAAGTGTGTATGGGAAGCTCAAATAATTGGGCAAAAGAACTCTGCGTCAGGCTAGCCTTCTGCCCAGAGCTGTGGTTGATGAATAGTAGCGAGATGGGTGACCGATTCAGAAGGCTGTCAACTGCAGAAAAGATATCGGGCTATTGAAGCTGCTATTCGGCAGCACCCTACACCGGTAGCCACAAAGCGGGGTATTCTTCTTTCTCTTCTTCCTGACGGTATAATTAAAATACTTTTATGTCGTGGTGCAATAAATTGACACCTACTGTACATTTCGATCGATTTCTTGTTGTGTATTACGAATAAATATTACACGGTAGTAACGATCTAAACTGCTCAACCGATATTCGAGTTTTTCGATCAGACACGGTTGATAACGGCAACATACTTAGGATGATTTCCACATGTTTTCGATCAGAATTTCCTTCCTTCAAAAGCTTTGAAATGTCTTGTCAAAGCTCTGAAAAAGCCTGACAGACTGAAACAATATGTTATGACAATGAAAACTATTATCTCTTTTATGAGTATATTTCTGTGTATTTATGAGTCTATTAACGCGTAATTGATGTGTAATTAATGTGTAATGACATCAGTTCAAGATTTTGAAGTGCTCTTACTAGACAAATATAATTCGTATACTGAATATCCCGTTGACACATGCTGTAATTTGGAATTAATTTCTAATCGACCTGGAAAATCGTGCAGCTTTTTCTCATATTTATAAAATGCTCGTAGATTTTCTGACTGTTTAGAAATTCGTGATTTTCTATTTTCCGGAAAATCGATTCTATTTTCTATAAACTAACTTTTCATTTTATTCAGAAAATCGCCATAGAATTTCCAAAAATATGAAAATTCGGCGTCGATTTTATAAATACTGGAAATTCGAGTTTGATTTTCTAGTATTCTTCGATTTTCTATAAATAATTCCCAAGATTCTTGATATTCAAAATCGATCTTTTAAAATGCAATGAGTTATTTTGTTCACCTTAACTTTGACAATGGTATATGTATGACCGAAATGGACCAACGAACGAGTCAATGTGGTGCTGTAAGAGCTTTAATGGCTGTATATGTTTCAATATCAGTTATCCGAATAATACACAGATGACACTTCAAACAGTCAATGGTGTTCTTTTTAATTCAAAAGATTTTAATTTGTCTGTTGGTTGTCAACCTTTTCTAGAATCAGTAATTTTAGAGAAAATAAAATATATATTAAGTGACTACAAGATAAGGTTAAGTAAATAAGATCTAAATAATAATCACCAAATCAGCAGACACTGTTTTACCTTAGCGTCCTTGTACCAATCAAAACACAAAACGCAGAACGATTTAAATTTCTTAAAATGAGTATGTTCATTGCTTTTCTAATCTAAAATAAGTGCCGATGATGGGCTTTTGGAAAAGCAATGAACTATAGCGTTATGAAAAATAATATGAGTACTAGCTTTATCCTTTGTGGTTAGGCCTTGAAAAAAGGAGCTGTATCGCAAAAGCTCGTTAATTTCTTTTGAAAGTACATTTTTTCTCCATGAATAGAACCATAGAGTTATAGAGCAGTCATTGGCACTTTTTTCCAGAGCCGCTAAGTTATGAGTTTACTCGCTGACTACCCGTAGCCAGAAATTTGGTAAGGAGTGGGTATCTACAAAAATTTCAGTCTTCGAATATTATTAATCAGATATATAGTGTATAAATTTAGTGTATACAAAGACTTTCTAGACTGAACTCAGGGACTCGGTTTTCTGAAATTTTGGTTTTCCAAAGACCCTAATTTCAGAAGTTTTAATGAAAAGTTGGCTTTGAACATGGACATTTTTTTCTTAGGTTTGGACTTTAGAAGCAAGGCAACAAAAACTGTAGTCGAAGTATATTTTTTCATTTTCGAGCAAAATTTTTTCGAGCATATCTAAATTCAGACAAAGAAATTGTTGATATTGATCGGTCGACAAGGAGAGGGCTTTATATTTCTGAAGAAATAGAATAACATCGTTTATAAACATTTCGTAAAGGGCTGAAAATAAACGTATTTAATGAATATTTTTTTTCTTTTTAGAATCACTTCACACCTATAATAGTATATATCAACATGCACAACAGTTAGATCGACGATATTTATCTGTTACCACATTAAAATCTCTGCAAGAAAGAGCACCATAAAACGTCACGTAACTCGTCGTATGTTTTTTCTTTGCACTAGATTACAGCGAAAAATATCGTCATGACTGTAAGCCATTTAGGGAAGCCGTCAAAAGTCGCATCGGTAAATTTATTCACCGGTGGTAGTTTGATTGGAAACAAAATTGAGAACAGTATTATTCAATATGCCTGAGAAAAAGAATATGGAACTATCGTACAACAGAATGACGATGTATGTATATATTCTTTTCTGTACTATACTTGACTGGATGTTTTTTTTCTTTCTATGCACACCATAGACAGAGATATAAAGCAAGAAATGGAGAAAAGAACAAATTTTATCGTTTTATCAAAAAGAAAGATTACACTGACTATGAAATTAGTGTTTATTCTGGCATTTTGTTTACGAGCAGTTTCTATTCGACAACCATGAAACTTTGGCTTTCCAGGTAAAACAAAGCGACAACATGTTAACATTGTTTTAAACAATAAACGATTTCACCTGAATGGGACGAACGAATATACTTCTTTATTCGAAACAGTAACAATCAATTCATTGCATTATAGCGACATAATTAACTTATTTAGATACATTCTACACGAGAGGCGTCTAACAATTAATTAACGCCGGTTTCTACGTTAGTGACAGCGACTCTCAGAAACTAAAAATTGATTTTACTTTAAACCGCGTGTCCCTTTCTTCTGTGTTTGCTGAGATTGGATAATTATCTGTTCTAAAAAAAACGAAGACAAAATCAAAATCATAATCATAATTTTTGTTCTATTTATTCTGTTTCTATGCTCGCATACACACTCATATATTTATTTCTATGAATGAAGAAGTGGGCTTTCAAATCTTGTATACTTGAATAATTATTATAGTTGTGAAATTATTAATCTATGCATTGCATAAATTTCATAAACATTCAGTTCTTTCGAAGAAAATTACTGTTATGGTCCTAATGTATGACTGTATTCGATTATTTTATCTTTAGCTTTGTCAATACTAGCTTTAATCGCGTCCATAATGTCAGATCTAACCGTTTTTTAAGCACACACAAAAGTGAATGCAATAAAAGTGTGTGCGACGGTTAAATGGACATCTACTCGTGAGTGTTAAGCGTAATCAACTTGTTTGCTTGTTTTCTGTTTGATAAGTCAGTGTTTATTGTAGAGTACGCGTGTGCTATTAATTACTTTATTACCTTGACAAAAAACGCACAACTACCAATGTGCATTCAACCGTTATTTGTCTTTTCACTTTTACTTAAAAACACGACAACATAGTTTTGTTTTTAAAACACAGACGTTGAATTAGGTCAAGATTTGTGGAGACATTATGGATACGATTAAAACTAGTTTTGACAAAGTTAAAGATAAAATAATCCAACAAACAGCGATACGAGAATATCAAAAGTCTCGCGATTTATTGGGCACAGATGAACACCGTATGAAACATGCTGCTAAAGCTCAACAGAATGTCATGAAATTGGAAAAACATGCAATCAAAGAAGCACACAAACAACATCATACATAAACCACATTGTATTTATACATACTGCTCGATATCATTAAACAGATAAAAGAAATTTATTTTCAAATCACACGTCGGTTTTTTCGAGTTTAGTTAAAAGTAACCCTCTGTATAAGACACTGATGTAATATTTTTAACTCGTACATGCGTCTGAAAACACGTTTTATGTTGCGTTTAAACACTCCGAATATTCACCGTTTAGTAGCGTTTAAGAGCATTTTTTTCTTTTGTTTTCAAAATACTTTTAAAACGTTTTTTATGCGTGATTGTAATTCCTGGCTAAGGTTTGTAACATTGTTTCACTATATTCAGGCAAGCAAAACGTTACTGAAGACGACCATCGTAACTAATCCGAAATGTCCGTATATCCCGTCAAGACTAGTCTAGAACGTCGCTTTCGCTCGTCATGACTAGTCCAGTTTTTAATAAATGCCGTATAATCCACCTAGACTGTTCTGGAATGTCTCTTCGACTCGTCATGACTAGTCTGTTTTGTCCGCTATACCCGTCTGGACTAGTCCAAAGAAAAAAAAATGACATGAACAATTCAATAGCCTTAATTCGAGTCATTACACCGTCTTTGTCAAGAAACCGACGCCTAGACCGAGACCTGCTGGCCCAAACGTTTTCAGTCCAGGGTCCCGGTCCTGTGGTCCCGTAAATATCTTCTCAAAGCAGTGCTGATAGTTTGAAAGTCAGCGAATTGTAATGTGCTTCATGGAACAGCATGCGTGGGTAATATTAACCGAAGACTGTTAGAATTTCTGCGAGTTCCTTCTCACAGAATTGGTGTGTACATACAAATCAGCACAGAAACTAAGAAATTTTTATGCTTCATACTAGACCATTTTCAAAAAAGCCTGATCCCGGCCGCATTAAAAGTCTTGCGGGACAGGGACCATCCCGATTGACTGGGACAGCTCCGCAGATCTCTAGGTTCCGGTCTCATAAAGTTTGACCCCAGTCCCGTAAAAAGTCCCGCGAGAGCGGTATGGGACAGTCCCACAGACCTCTACTGGACCGGACGCGTGTCTGGCACATTTGTTCTAGACAAATACGAGTGTGTCCGTCTGAAAAAGACACTGGTGCGCGTCAAGCTGCTCGTCTGGAACTAGTCGCCCGTCTGCATTAGTAAAATGATGTGAGACTGGACAGCAGTCAGTGACGTGACGATATAGTACCAGAGAAGCCGAAACCTATTGAAAATGTCTCATTTACGCGGTACTCATTCATACTTCTTTTGTGCCTCTTATTAGTATCTGTTCTTTTTATTCTTCGTCCATTTTTACCTTTGTGTCCTTTTTCCATTCTACACATTTCAAGTAGGAAGGATAAAAACAAAACAGAATACCTTTGACATAGCCCGTTTCTTACAAAAATGAGAGATTATTGTTTTTCGTTAGAAAGAAGGAGCTTGGTATTCAGAGACAATATTAAACCCTTTAATGCATAATAATAGAACAGTATAAGTATCACAACAAATAGTACTAAATGTCGCTATTAAACCGGGGAATAATAGTATCGAATAATTTGAAGTTATTTAACACCGTTTTGTGGAAAAAATATCTAGTAAAATTGGTCTGAATACTCAATGACACTCAGTGCATTAATTAAAATCAGTTTTATCTTGTCTTTCTATTGGTTCGAGCGTTCTGTTTATAGGTATGCTGCTGGAAAGAACAGTTGATTGAATGGAAATGATAGCAAAATCCAAAATCCTCTGGAATGGACATTAAATTGTAACAAATACACATGTGTTCCTAACGGTTCAGTATATGCGTCATTTCAGCCACATGCGGACATAGAGAAGAGATAGTGTAGACGATATGCACTATCGATTATATAATGTTAAAATGCCTTTATAAGAGAGACGGTGGTGCTGCAGCACCATTAGATGCAAAGATCGATTCACAGCATGCTGGGAATCGATCTTCGCATCTAACTCCTTCGAAACAAGCAACCACTAGAAACCATTCAGACACCACAGCAGAGCATGCAATCATAACAGAGCCCTTTATGTACGATTAGATCAAAGGTTCACTCCGAAACTATTCTATTTGAAGGGTGAACATCTGTCTCAGGATGACCTTTCAGGGTTAAGTAAAACATGTTCTGTTTTGCACCGGTATATTCACAATGACACGTTTTGAACCATTGTATACGTTTCAGATTCCCGTTTTCTATTGCCAAATTGTATTAAACGATATATTTGAAAAACAGAAGCCATAGAAACGAGATAAACACAGGAAAAAAAGAATTCAGCGGCCGAATTTTCTAGCTCTAGATACTCTAAATCTAAACTAGATACAGCGGCAACTAAATCAGCTACTGATTATAATGAAACCTATTTATACGGTCATTATGACTGTATAAATAGGTCACAAATTCGTATCTTAATAATTATTTTATTTATTTTAGTAAACTCTTAATTACGTGAAACCAAGTTAAGGGTATTTCAGCCGCAATTGCACTAAAGTTCTTAAAATCTGAGCTCTTGTGGACAATGTGGCTGGACGCTTCAATCGATATTGATGGAACAACCGAACTTCTTGCCGTACCCAAGCACGACACGTTCATTTGTTTTCCCTGGACTGCCAGTACAACTCAAGAAATGAAAATAAAATAAGGAACAGCGTGGTTCACTACACAAATGGAAATAGTAACAACTTACAAACCGTCAACATTCATTTAGCTGTCAGAAATTGGTCAGGTCCCCATTGGAAGCATCGCCTATCATAGATTGTTGTGAACTAAGAATGATTAAAAGCGAGTAATATCTCACATTTAAAGCTTGTATACTCAAGTTTGTTCTTTATTTTATGAGACATGAAAAATATGTTAAAAATCGTCTTTTAACAGTTTTTACTTATGAGTCGTAACTCTCCAATGTTTCGTTAGTTTTGAAAGCAATTTTTTCCTATTTTTTAGTAATATTCTCTTCTGTAAATATGTCCTATATATGCGCTAATATCTGAAGCCTAATCAAAAGTTAAGATTACTAAACTTAATCATGAAAACTGTCATGAGAAATTTATTATTTTAGTTTACTGGTCTCAAAAACTTAATAGACGTGTAGAAAAGTCTAAAATTCAGTACCTAAAATATAAAAACAAGTAATAATTGCCTTTTCAAAAAATATAAGATTTCTCTAGCGATCTAAACAAACACGATAAAATGACCATAGTATTTGTTGATCGTCATTTGATTCAAATTTTTTTACATGTTTTTTGCCGCAACTTAAATACATTGATTTAGCACGATTTTCTAATTGTAAAAACTTCCCTCCATTTACAACTACATGTATTTTCCAATGTAGATAATGATTAGTCTCTTGTTCGCCATGATGATAGTTCCTTGTATGTGATGGTCCACCATCCAAATATGATTGTGTCTGAACATTCCACAGTACATTCCATCCAGATGTTGAACACACCTGTTCGATTTGCCAGTACAAATATGGATTTGTATCTGGTAATGGATAACTATCTGAACGAATATGATGAGGACCAGCATCCAAACATCCACTTGCTTGAATACTATGTAATTTATATGTACAATTATTTGCTGGTAGTTCTATCTGATATGGTGTGGGATAAATACGATTAATTGCTTCGATTGAAAGATCATTCAAATATTCAGGCGTATCAAATTTCATTGATGGATTTGGTCGATAGACAATTGTCTGTTGCCCATTCGTTTTGGCGCCTGATGTGCACCAGTAATGCATAAATGAATGAATATTATATGGAAGTTGTTGATTATCTGAATTATGACAAATCGCTTGAATTTGTGTTTGAGAAAAACAACTTTCATCCATTTTATCTTTTATGACATGAATATATTGATCACGATCACTACGTTGATGTTCATGAATGAGACCCAATACATGACCTAATTCATGTAAATTTCGACAATTTTTATTAATATTGACAAATTGACCACTGCCATCATCACTGTATTTCATTCCTATACATTCACTTTGATTACAAACGTCTGTTTCATATTTAAAATAAATATAGTTCAATTCGTTTGTTCGTGGTATAAACTGAACATTGGTTTTTAGATTCATTTCCATAATGGCAGCGATTATTGTTGACCAGAATTTATGCTTTGGATTTGGTACATAAGGTATGATACTGTCGGGCCATGGAAGAAATTTAGCTGGCGTAGGCATGTTGTTAGAAGTAAAATACCTTCTAAAACAATAATAAACTGTAAAAATTATAATGACACCCTCTTCATGTGGTTTTCCAGCTTAGAACTTCTATGCTACCGAGTTCGAACTCGATCAATTCATATTTGAAGTGGATATATTTCATTCAAATATCGAGAAGCATTTATTGTTTAAAAACGAAAAACAACCATTTTTAACAGACAATATGGATCATTTTGATTGCGCTCTTGTCTCTTGGTGAAACAGTATCCACTTCTGCTCAGTTAGTTAAAGTGCCGAGTTTTTCACAAAATAGTGAAGTGAACAACTCGATCAGTTTGAGTAGAACTAAGATTCGAATCAAAACCTCCCTCTCTACATAAAATGATTTGTTTTTCTATCAAAACCAGAAGCGATGAGCTCTTTTATCCGGGGAACATGTTTCATAATCCGGAAACTATTCAAAGCCCTACTCCTATGAAATGACATACCTGTTTATATATGAGTCATTTTAACAAAAGAAAACGATCGGCACATAATAGAGTCTTGTATGAGTCATTACATAACTAGCATTTAATATTCATACCACTCGGCGCGTACGCAGTTACTCGTATTTTAGAAAACGTCTCTGAATGTACAAGAAGGTGAATGTTGCAATGGTAAATACAGCAGGGTTAATCTATCGAAAAACTCTACAGTCTTCCAAAATATAAGCATCAGAGTTATCCTTTTACAAAGCTCATCGAAGGGCACGTTCCTATTCCGCGGAAATTCAAAATGTATAAATATGAAGTTAAATTTCATAGAAATTCGTTTCTGGATAGTACAGGTTAACGATGAGCTAATTAAATATGAACTACAGCTTACTCAATATTGTTGCTGGGGATCAGAAACTTCAAATGAATTCCCTGACATTACCTAACACTCTTAAGTTAGGTAAAGTCAGGAAATTGCACGGAAATTGCACTGTATTACTGAGCCCATCTAGTAAAGATTTACTTTCTCGTCTCTTTAATAAAACATGGTTAATGAACAACAGTAAAGAAAACAGTATTTTAAAGAGAAAGTGATATACGAGGCTTAAATATTATGACACTAGTCAAGACTAAAGACTTATTTGGCGTTAATAGTTTTATCATTGTCTCATTCAGCGTCTTGGTAAAAAAATGAAAACCACCGCATCAAAGTTCCATCAGTCGAATATCATCGAAAGCATTAGACACCTAGTCAAATTATTCGAATTATTACTTGAGCAGTCGATTTCAGCTTATTCTTCTTAAGCATTTTTTCCATATGTTGTGGTATGTATTCTTCAACTAAATATTCCTAATCTTCTGTCACATAAATAGAGAATTATTTTCATAAATCCTGTATTTATCGTTAACCCTCTGCAGGTGCTATCTCAAACACTTTGCTCGTGCGAGGCAGGGGGAGGATGAGTAAGAGTGAGGAAAGATACAACATTGCAGGTATTGATCTTGAACATTTTCTGTGACGGACGGCGACCTTGCCGAACAAAAATGAGCACCTTCTCATCCAGCTGTTAGATTTTGTCGATGCGAAGTATAATGTTTTTTGATTTATGGTATAAATCAATATTTTTCACAAAACCTGGTTTTTGATAGGTTTTTAAAGTTACTGTTCTTCTTTAATGGGATGATGATGCTTCGAGTCTCCTCTTTCCAATGGGAAAAATCTCAGGTCTCTAGCTCCTTTCGTTAAAAGGTTTTCAAACATACTCACAACCATCTCTTTTTTTGAGAGATAATATATACCTTGTCGGTAGTATCCTAATTTGATTAAAGCTGAATTCGCTTTATGCATCAGTAGGAACTTCGATCCATGTGATAATATTTTGTGAGCATCGACATCAGTGACATCGTGGACCATGGACCGCTCGTCATCAATAACATACATTGCCTAACCTAAGACAGTCTAGATTTTCTTTTGAAACAAAACTTATCTACATGGTGAAATTGTTGAATTTCCGCGAAACAGGAACGTGCTATGTCCTCACAAAACTCGAAAGCTTAGCTGAGTCCGAAAAATTCGAGCAGTGCGAATGATTTGTTAACACCAGAAACAGGACTGTACCACGCATAAGAGTTCTCATCCAAGACAAATGATAAAGAGCTTGGGCTATTTTTGTTTTGCAGTAAGCGCCTAGGAGTTTACAGAGCCTGATTTTCGAATTTCTCATTTGCTGATTTCTGGTGCTTAAGAGAACTATAAAGTCCGAAAAATCCGCATTTGTATAAAAAATAGAAGCATAATTTAAAAATCGGACTCTATCAACTCCTAGTCAGGTGTTATCTGCAAATCAAACAAACATTTTGTTTCTCTGATGTATCGTTACCAAGAATTCCTGTGCGTGGCGAAAGCCCTGAAACTAAAAAACCGTCTTGGGAAAAACGCAAAATAAGTTTGATTCTGTTAAATGCGTTTTACCTAAAAACTGCTTGGTGTTAAGTAATTTGTTGATACTTTGTTAAAGGTTCTCGGCCATGACAGATCTAATGAACATGTGCATGGATATATGCGGCGCATGCGTGCGCGTATGCAATACAAATGCAAAAAAAGTCATTTTTTGTGCTACAAGGGTTCTGGAAAACTCACTCAAAACCGGGAGGCCTAATGTACTGTGTCTCAATTTGCTTTTCAAAAAATCTGTTCAATGAGAAACTACAATTATCTAATTACCTTATTCAGCGTCGTGAAGAATACAAACTTTAGTTCCTCGCTAGCCTAGAAATGTCATATTGCTTATATTGTTTCTAAATGTAATCTATTCTGGGTATGACGACATAATACACTTTTGATACACCTGCTCTTGAACAACTATACAAATCGTACATTTTGAGTATTTTTCACAGTTACAGTACTGACAGACTCTTCTAGTTTCTGGGGTGCATGCCATTTGTTCAGCAGAAGATAGTTTTAACTTTGGGATGGCGTGACATTCAAGACCTCTGATAGTCCCAAGTTAACTTTCTTCTGCAAAATAATTAGAGGCGAAGCACCTACATTCAAAGTAAAGAGACTTTTTCGTACAATTTACGAAGATGTCCAACGTTCAAATGCATTTCACTCTATTTTAGATAAGCAAATGTTATGGTTTACTAAACCTGCAAAAACTGAAGAACTGTAAAACTGATACATTTGATAATCGAAAATTAAATCAGAAAATAAATCAGAAAAAATTTATGTGTAACAGCAAAGTTTCTGTTCTTTTCGAATCCGTAAATAAGAAAAAAGTTCCGTTAAAATTATTATGTCTTTTCAATTTTAGTTTTACTTCAAATATATCAGTACTTCTTGTTTAACAAAATGTTATTTTATCTTATATGTTAGCAAGAACAGGAAAAAGTATGAAAATAGAACGGAGTTTGGACTGAATGGAGAACGGAGTGAGAATTATTAAATTTTTACACCGCTTAGAGAACGGGACTGAAAAGAGAACAGTTTTCAAATTGTAATTGTAAATTTGTAGAAGACTGAATAGAGAACGGTTGTGAGAGATATTTTTTCGCTGTATGTGTATAGTTTCTAAAGTAAAATTTTTCATACGCACGCTTCTTCATATTTACACATCGATACGTAAACAGTAAAAGAACCATATTCTAAACAAGATGATGCGCCGAGAATGGCTACCATTGCGAATTTGTAATACTCAAACTGAACTTAATGAATTAATATCAGAAAATGAAGTATCCAGATTTCGAAGTGAATGAAGTACCAATGGCAACCAATATACATATCGGTGTGCTTCATATAAGAAATTTCCATCATGTGATATTCCGCTGCAAGCTATACAAAAGAGCAATTGCAAAGAATACGTATGTAAACATACAGTTGGACTTGCAATTGCTTTTTGCTATCATGTAATCTCAAAAGATCGTATGCCTTTAGGACCAAAAAAATTTAGTCTTGCTCTACTTTTTTGGTGTCGTTTTTGTTCAAGTTTGATACATGGAGCTCGAAATAATTGAGAAATAACAAACTTTTCAAGTTGCAAAAACGTTGCAAGGACTTTTTCAGAGGTGTTTGGTTTTTGACTTTTCCTCACCGTATGTTATCATATCTATTTGCATTTTTTTGCATAATACTTTTTTGCAGGTAATGCAAGATATATATAGATAATAATTCACTATTCGAACGTATCAGTCTCCTTTCAGTCTTTTGAACTCATAATTCTAAACGGTTCTCTTTTCAGCCCTAATTCCGTCTTCTAAAAGATCCTTGTCCACAAGAATACGTACTTTTCACGCTTTATTAACATACAGGCTATAGAATTTCTAGTCAAAATAATATATAAACACATCTTCGGGAAATTCATTAAGAGAATCAATATAAGAACAAAACTCACTTTCAGATTAATGACTGTAGTACCAGTTTTACAATTTAGCTTTTACTGCATTCCGGTTTTACTACTTTTTATCTGTAACTGTTACCTATCTAACTCTATCCGGTGACAGCGGATAGGCCTTTCTTCCCGTTCGCCATTCAGTTTAGAACTTCCTCAAAGTATAAATATTAAGTCATCAAAAACATTTCGTAAACAAATTCACAATGGATGTTTTTGTCTATTTTTCGTGATTATCATATCCAGAGAGCCATCAACGTATTATACAGTGGACTTTGCGTGTTATATTGCGCTTAAAGAACAACTTTTATATAAAGTACTCCGCGATAATAAACACTCTTACCCTCTGTCTTGACTTTCTTTCTGTTAAATGTGCCGCTATTGAAAGTGGATTTTATATATATATATATATGCCATGTATATTTATACTGCATAAGAACAACACCACGTTTCTATTTTCTTTTCTTTCTCTGCTTTTTTGGTTTTAAAACAGATTCCGATTTTTATTTTCATTTACTATTCTCTTTCAACATCATCATACATGTACAATTGTCCATCTCTTTTTCTTTCCAAATAAATAACTCATATCAACTGCTCATACCTAGAGAGGTATGAGTATTCATTGCGTCATATCATGACTAATAAAAGACTCTGTTGATAGTTTGTTTTGAGAACATGCATTATAAGCAACGATAATAAATGCTTTGCGTTCGTTCTTTCACAACAAATGTAAAAGATAATATATTATTAGTAACGATGATGTGTCATATGAAATCCTGTCATGATGTTTTTCTATTATTAAAGGTATTTTTGTTTCTTCTGTTTTTTTCTCTCAAATATTCCACTTTTAAGTTTTTATATTTCGTTGACTGCATGACATTTGTCAGTGGAAATGATGACTTTCACGATCATTTATGCACTTCCAATTTTTGCGCTAACATAAAATTTCATAAGGCAGCAAGCATGGTAATTCAGTATAAATTTTATTTATTTACTTGAACTAAAAGACGAAAAAAGCACGGACAATCAACCTGATACTATTGTCAGTTAGTTTTCAGAAAAGTTTTACCATATTTTTTTCCTAAATTTCCGAAAAGGCGACTATAAATTTCACGGCGATTTTTGACTACAGAACGAGATATATGTAGGTTTATAGATAAAGACTTCCTGTATTCGGTGGTATATATCTTGTCGAATCCTAGAATCCTGGCGTTTTCTAGAAATGTTTTTAGTTTCTGAGTTAAATATTGTGCAGTATAGAGTAAAGTGTCCTATACAATAAGATTACTTCCGCTGATTCGTTATGAAAATACAGCTGCTATTCAAACAGCCCCAAAAATCGATTTTGGAGCTATCTGAAAAACGTGTCTGAAAGAGTGAAGACGAGCACGCGAAAATTCAACAAGTGTACCAGTTTGTAGAATACTGTTAGCTTTACAAGATGTGATAGCTTGTTAAGTTTGAAATTATTCTGATTAATCTGTATTAATCAAAGAAAAACCAGAAAAACCCGGACGCCGTGACACTTTTGACCGTTTTTTGTCACGGCATTAGGGTATTTCTGGTTTTTCTTTGATTAATACAGGTTAATAGAATAATTTCGAACTTGACAAGCTTTGAAGTTCGGATTCAAGCAAAGTTCGATGTTCAAGTTCTACATCAAATATTTAACAAAGCAAACTGTATAATCAGACAATTATGATACATTCTCCCAACACGAGTTTTCGTTTTTCTCTCACTTTCGCACTTTGACTCAAAAAGCAGTTTTTTTAGAGAATAAAAAGGTCAGTCAGCACATTTTCTGTTAAGATAAGTCATCTACATGGTGCAGGTTTAATTTTATCAGCCACACGTATTAGACATACAAATTACTTTGTATAAATATAATCACACGTTTTTTGTCATTATTTCCATGGTGACTTTCACGTGTTCTCTATTGTAAACTTATTTTTTTCAACACGAATAGAACCGTAAAAGATATAATTTCGCATCTTCTGCCCCTAGTTTCATCATGCTTAATCAATTAGTGATGGCTGTAGGAATCAGTGTTTCACACAGGTTTATTATCGTTTGAAAGATGCTTTGGTTATTTACGTGCTTATTCATTAAAATAGGTAGGAAACAACAAAAGTAAGATTCTTGTACTATTTGCCATCACCAGCAGCCAATTCAGTCAACTTGGAAAATGTTGTAAATAAAGAAAAGACGAACTGTACTTGACACATAACCTAGTGGCTCTGGAAAAAAGTGTCAATGACTGCTCTATAACTCGATGGTTCTATTCATGGAGAAAAAATGTACTGTCAAAAGAAAGGATTCGGTATTAATCAAAGAAAAATCAGAAAAATCGTGACTCTGTGACAAAAAAACAATCAAAAGTGTCACAGTGTCACGATTTTTCTAAGTTTTCTTTGATTACTACCGATTAATCAGAATAATTTCAAACTTAACACGCTATCATATCTTGTAAAGCTAACAGTATTCTACAAACTGGTACACTTGTTGAATTTTCGCGTGCTCGTCTTCACTCTTTCAGACACGTTTTTCAGATAGCTCCAAAATCGATTTTTGGGGCTGTTTGAACAGCAGCTGTATTTTCATAACGCATCAACGTTCGGAGCCTAGACACTTTTCGTTTTGTAGAGAAATGTTGGATCTACTTAGTTATCTAGTTGCATTTTTAGATCATGGGCTAACTTTATTGCCATAAGAGCGAAAAAAGGGGACTGTTTGTGGGACAAACTATTCATTCTAATTGTTAGGGCTAGTTAGTAATTATGCTCTAATATGTCATTATGTTTGTTTTGATTTGTGCTCATTTCCTGAACAGAAAAGAATTAAGGAATATGATTTTTTGACATTAACATGAAAAATTAATCAGAATATACAATAAAAGAGTGTTATCAGTTGATATCACAAAGTATGAATGACCTTTTCAGTCTGTATATATCTGACAGAATATATACTTGAAGTAGTGCACGAGCAGCTTCAAATGTCCCTTTATGAAAAATAAGTAGATATTTGAAAGCTATAAAGTCGAGAGAAACCTGTTTCTCTGGTAATTGTTTAAACAATTACCAGGAATTATGAAACTTTGAAGAACTCTAAAATGAAGTACATGAAATCAACATTCTAGAAAATCAATACGTATAATATATTCATTTCCTTGATCACTTACAAATTGTTTCAAGTACTAAAGTGTTACTAAATATTTGAATTGGTTTTGTGTGTTTAGTAAATATTATCTCCATTCAAAGATGGAGATCCAATAAGAGATCAATATGGATGTGGAAATCAAATCCTAATCCATATTCAGATACAGAACCTGAACAATGGGCACAATATTCAAAAGCTGAATGTGACATTCTTGAAAAAGCTTATCAACAGCAACAAAAACAAGTTGAATTTGATAGTTATATAGTTGATATGGAAAACAAGCTTCAAATAAAGAAATCTGACAAAACCAGACAACGACCAATAAAAAGAATTGAAGTTGATTCAGATGTGAATCTTGTAGAAAAACCAGTATGGATGTGGAAATCAAATCCCAATCCATATTTAATGGCTGAACCAGAACAATGGACGAATTATTCAGAAGTTGAATGTGAAGTTCTTGAAGAAGCTTATCAACAAAAACAAAAACTAGTTGAACTTGATGATTATATAGTTGATATAGAAAACGGGTTTCACGCAAAGAAATCTGACGCAAGCAAACAAAGACCAATTAGAAGAATTTTAGTTGATCCAACTGCAAGACATCTTCGTGAAGAACGTTTTTCTATTTCTCAAAAACCTATCAAATCAGATAGTGATCAACAACACTTTTGTTTTATTATTGCTGAATGGCTTCTTAAAAACAAAAAAGATAAAGATGACCATCCAAAATGGGTTGAACAAGCAGCAAAAGGAATATGTCAGGAAGGGTTAAGTAGAAGATAAACAACAACATGAAATAGTTCGACGTTGTATTCATCTTTACACAAAAGAAACATTTCTTTATAAACTAATAAATAAAGCATTAAGAGAAGAAGACAAAAGTAAAGTAGATACATTAGGTGCATTTTGTTATTATATAAGTTTAATGAATTATACACAAGAATTTGGTCCCAGTTTCCATTCAAGTACGGTATATAGTGGTATGACATTGAGTAGAGAGGAAATAAGTGATTATAAAGCAAGTATAGGTAGATATAGAGCGTGGCTTGCATTTAACTCAACAAGTAAAATTCGTAGAGAAGTAGAAATGTTTGGCAATACATTGTTTGTGATTAATTTCCTTGCTATGTCAAGACATGGAAGTGGAATTGATATTACGCATCTTTCAGAATATCCCTATGAAGAAGAAGTTCTTTTACAAACAGGAACAAATTTTCGAGTAGATAAGGTTGAAGAAGACGGTCTTAAATATCGTATTTACGTAACTGTTGTTTAAATGATGTTTTTTGTTTATCTTTATTATGTTGCACTTTTTGAATAAAAATTCTTCAATAAATAGTCGTTGACAGCCAATATAATATGAGACATAATGTTTATTTCTAACCTACCCATTCGAAAACTTTGAGACACAGAAAAGTTTAACGCGCGCGCGACCGCAACTTTTTTAAGAAAAATCAAATACCGCATGCGCTTAAAACGCCGTCTGTGTTTCCAGATTTTGCATTGGGTAATTCAATTATGTAGAAGACGCTATTCAATTGTGATCCAAAAGAAGATGTTTCAAACTCAAATGAATGATTTATTTCCATAGTGCCTCATGGTTTCAAAATATTGAACCGCTTTTTTAATTGTTTGATGGAGGATTGTTTGGTCTACAAGAGTGATGTAAAGGAAAAGAGATTTGCTTTTCTTATGTTCTGTTTTTGGACTCTAATGTAAAAATTTCGGTTTCATTGCAAAACAGAAAGTTTATACTCGTGATGGAGCTCCGCCATGCAACGTAGGAGAAAATTATTCTTTCTGGAAATCTTTTCCATACATTTCTCTACAGAATAAGGCTTTGAGCATAAAGAAAACGGTGTGTGTGAGGTTTTTGTACGGTATTGAAACACGCAAATATCACTAGAAATAACGTCATGATTGAGAGTGAAATTTCTTTTTCTCTAGAAAGCTACAACAAATCATTGTGATTTTAACAACATAGATAGCCCATGCCTACCAGCGTCTATACACTAACTCTCAACTGTATTCATACAAAGGCTTCACTGAAAAAAAAATTCTACTTTCAAGCGTTACCTAATTTCTAGCGATTTCCACTAAAAAGTACTGGAAAATAAGTAACGCGTGAGAGGAGAATTTATTTTTCAGGGAAGTATTTGCATGAATACAGTTGAGAGTTAGTGTACAGACGCTAGTAGGCATGGGCTATCTATGTTGTTAAAATCACAATGATTTGTTGTATCTTTGTAGAGAAAAAGAAATTT